TGTTTCTGGAGGGCGGTGGGGTGGCCGGAGCCTTTAGCACAGGGCCTGGGGGGTGGGATTTTTAATATGGTGTTTCTGACACCTAACTGAACATATTCCACCATTTTTTTCTTTTCCACCCAAAATGTCCAGTTAGATGTCTTTGTCGCCTAGACTATTTTTGTAAGATGTCAACAAAAATTTTCGTGTCGGAGTTGCACATTTTAGTGTAATAAAACGGCATATACAGCGAATTAATATGACTTTTGGCAGTGCATATTAGGCATGGGCATAAAGGATGTAAGACTGTTAAACACGTGTTTTGTTAAATATTTGCTTTGAGCTAGGAAGCTGCTCTGTCAAGGATTTGTCAACTGGTTTTTATTTGAAGTTTGATTGTTTGATGTTTATTTATTTATTTATTATTATCCCTCTCTTGTTTTGGGCCCTCAACAGGCATGCGCCCAATTACAGAGTGACCCGCATGATGCTATTTAGAGGTGCCTCTGCAGAAGGTCTTAAGTTGGTCTATACTACTCCGGTATTTACCTTACGAATTAGGAAAACTGCAGGAAAACCTAATTCGGAGTAGCTGGTAGAATGCTCGGAACTGGTCTAAGGTAATTTCCATCTCCGCCACAGATGAAAAATTCACCTCAACCCAGGTTCGAACACCCGACCTTCGGATTTATGTTGTGAATAACATTAGATGTTTGGTTGGTTGGCAAAGTTAATTTACCAATATCTTTTTATCGTGCTCGTGGCTGCAGAAATAATAATCTTAATATCCTGAGATGAAAAAATTATTAATGAAGCGCCAAACACAGAGAAGTTATATCTGGCAGAAAAAGTAATTTAATCAAACGTTATTAATTACATCACTACATTTTATAGATAATTCTAATCATTAATCAAGCAATATGCAAGTTGAGGACCTACTCGCATAAATTACCAACATTTTTTTTATATTTTTACCAGTTCATAATTGGCAAAGAGTTCAAAGTTCAAACTGCCAACTATATGTGACTAGCATTATCTGATTGTCCAGTTCTAAAAAAGGTTTTTGGAGCATCTGCAATTGATTGGATTAGGGTTAGTTAGGGTTGGGCTTCAAAGTAAATTGGTTTCGAAGGGGGTTTAGCAGAAAATATTAACAAATCTACCACACTAATTTCTTTTATCCATTTGCATTTAAGTCAAGTTCGTTATGGGCATGCTTAGAACTTAGGAATCTATTAATGTCAAAGTTACAGCGGTACCATGAAAATGGTAATTAATCCTAGGCGCTACATAATTGAAATGTTACTGCGTATGTCACCACTAGTACGATATAGTTCGTATGTGAAAGTTGGGCTATCGAGTTTTTAATGTAGTTCTTTGAATTTTGTTTGAGTGTATTTGTCATCTACATACTACCTACACTCAAACTAGTGTTTACAATTTGTTTTTTGATTTGTTCCATCAGCATTGCTGTTCACATGGGCACCTACTCATTTTGTGTGACTTCAATATAGCATCTTCTAAATGTGTGCACCTTTAAAATGAATGCATCAAACGCCATCCCCTTTAAAGCTTTAAGCCTAAAGTAAAAAGTACCTAAGGTTATATGATCCTCATACAGTATTTTCTCTTAATATTTACCTACCTTTGCAAAATGTTACACGTGCAAAGACATTTGAAAGGTACTGTTCGCTTTAAAACGCATGGATCGTTCAAGAAAATATAAATTCACATTAAAAAACGCCGCCAATGCATGGCGATTACTACATAAATGAACCACCTTCTAAACATGTTTGCCAATGCCTTAGCCTTAAGTAAAAACCACTACAAATTTTAAGCGCCAAACTACCCTCAGTTATTTTGGATCACGCGGTATATGCCAGGCAACCGATCGTAGAGGAATTTGGGTTCGTGAAAACATGCACAAAATTTATAACGCGTTTTACTTTTTTTTTGGGGGGATTGATTCAACCTTGAGTTCATCTATGAGGTGAATTTTGAAATTTTAAAAAACGGCGTGAGTAATGTGACCATGAAGTTCTAAACTTTTATCATATCCATCAATCTCTGGACCAACCTAATTTTATCCCTTCATTAGTATATCACCTAGGCCCCCCACCCCCACCTTTTGAGCCCCTAGGCATTATGAATAATCCGCCATCGCGTATAGAGGATGGTTTTATTGTATTGTAAAGAATTTCATTATAAGTACGAGCCTTTGATTTACTAGAAAGTTTATGAAAAATCTAAGATTCTTCAGACTTGCGACCTATTTTTTCCAACAAACTATATATAAATACAACAAAATAACATCATTTTTAAGATTGTTCTTTTCTTGGTCCATCGAACAAAGCACTGACACGTAAAACTAAGGCCGGTGGTACAATTCAATTTCAGTAACGAAAATATTTTTCGTAGATGTGAGAAGTTGGAAAGTGATTTTTCTTATTACAATTTCTCTTTTGGCCAAATTCTCTTCTTTAACTCCATAGCAAATATTGTTGTATAACCTTGGAATGACACATTTCATGTAAGTGTGAAAGAGGAACCCAGACGTTACTTGTATAAATAATTTTGGTTTCCAACTTTTCATTAAAGTAGAAAGCGTTGTGCTATTTAATTACATTACACCGAAAAAGCGAATATCTTTTTGTTGTATGAGCCGGTTCTAGTCTCTGAGGTTTTCTGCTTTGTAAGATAATTTGGTCAGACTAAACACAGATCTAATTTCGCTAATTGCTACTGGGAGTATCTTTGCTACGTTCCGTACAATTTCACTATACGACGTACCCAAAGACCTCGGGTGGGAATATAGAAAAGAAAAACTAAGCCAATTGTCAAAATTTTTATGTGATTAATATAATTGAAATCTTTGAATAAAAAGTGTCGGGAGATAACATTAATTCCCACTGCCTTTCAGAGAGAATTTGTAATGAAGGGAATATTTTTGGAGGACGGCTTTTAAAAGCCCGACGTTGAATAGAACTCTTTGAATATTTCATAGGAACTAGTATGGATGGGGATTTAATTAAAGCTACATTGAGACACTCTAGGAATTGGGGAATTCTCGCGCGGAGGTTTCAGGTACGGCGTTCAATACCGGCCAATGAAGAGATATATTTGAGTCGCAGTGAAAGGGGCGAAGTGAAACTTTGTCCGTGTGCGAGGGTGAAGCTGGGTCTGTGATCAATACACGCTGGCGGAGGCACCCTCCGGCGTCTTATTAAAGCGGACGAGCGGGAGAACACCGATGATGATCTCGCCACGCGGCCAAGATTGGCTGTTGAAATAGACTCACGGCGTTGGGAAGTTCAATGAAATATCTATCAGTCGACTTTTTTGAATAACCGTAGAACGTAGATAGTCAATTTATGATAGCATTGTACATGAATCGATACGTAATTATTGAAGCATTTGCATTCATACATACAAAGTATAACACAGGTAGGTAAGGGAGCGCCCCAAATATTCTCTCCGAGCGCCGCAGAATACAAAAGATTCAAATTTACATTTACACTTGGTTTTAGCAATTTCACTCCCAGTTTGTCATCTGCGTTATTTCCACGTATATGCTATACATAGAAACACAACCTCCACTTTACATCAGTATCACAATCGTGAAACTGCGAAACGAACTAAAATTTGTTTTGTATATACAACCCTCCTCACTATTGATTTAGGCGCGACTGCGAATTATTAGAAATGTGACTTTGAAATATGTATTAAAAATTTGCTTCTTTTAACGCAGTTCGTTTTCATTGCTTTCTTGTAATGCGAACGTACGAAAATTTTACTCGATAGGTGTTCATGCTCGGAAGGCAAAACCGTGTCGAAAGTGTTCGTTTTTAGCGCATTTTCTAACAAAGTTGGGTGCGCTATTGCAGCACTTTCTGTGTCCGTCCGTCTGTCGGTCTGTCTGTCTGTCCCAGGCCTTAACTACTCCTACAGTGTTTAAGATATTTAGTTCGTTCTTTTTCCATTCGGTAGTGTATAGCTCTGGCATTTGAGCCAAGGAAAATCTTGACGACTAAACTGCGTATGCGCAGGCTGCGCAACGTCAACTTTCTTATTTATGGGGATATTTGTCTGAAATCTTAACCACAGATGCTTTTAGTAAAAGCTAAAAGCAAACGTATTGCATATTGTAATTAATAATAACAATGTATATTACGTGCTTTGCAAAACAAAATAATACTTGCATTAGTCAAAACAACAAACCATCAAAACATTAAAGATAACTAATTAGATTAATGTAGGCATGCCCAGGATGCGCAATATCAACTGTCTTATTTACCAAGATATCTTTTTGAAATTTGAATAACAGATGTTTCTGTTAAAGGCAGACATATCTGATATTGCATTAGATGTGCGCATGCGCAGTCAGTGCTATCTTCCTTATTCATGAAGATATTTCTTTGAAATTTTAACCAGAAATGCTTCCAGTATATAAAAACATATCACATGTAGTAAAAGTCGAAAACTACAAATGTCATTAGCAAAGGCAAACACATCGCACATAGTAAAAATGAAATGAGTGCATTCGCAGACTGTAAAATGTCAACTTTTTCACTTATGACTCTCTCTCTAAAGTTTAGGCATAGAAGCTTCTAGTAAAAACAAGCATCGCATATAAATAGCATGCGCGAACTGCGCAACGTCAATTTTTTTATTTATGGAGATATTCCTTTGAAATTTTAACCGTATATGCGTTTAGTAAAGAAAAACATAGTGCACATACATATGGCCTATGTTTTCTACCAACTACTGTCCTTCTTTCTGTCCTCTTATCAAAGTACGGGGTGGAGGGGAGGGGGAGTAGTTTTATCGGGTATATTCTCTTATACGTCAAGAACGGATTGTCGGAAGAGAGTACTCACAAAGGGCGATTGAGAGGTCTGCAAGAAATATATGCATTGGTGATGTCAAAACAAAAGCTATTTCGGTTTAAAAAAATGCGCTTTATCTGCACAAGAGTTGTGCACACAATTTATACTTGTTTTTAATTCTTAAAAAAACGCTAAAAATTATATTTGTCAATGTTGTCTTTGCCATTTGATATAATGATTTATATAATAGATGCTGATACAATAATTTCAACGTGAAATAAGCTTTTTGCAGACATTTGGTCCTAAATTCTTTACACAATTTTCAGCCACAATTGAGTTCTGGTTTACGCCAATGCCATTTAGCCGTAGGCAGTTGCTTCCTAACCTGTTTGCGATGAAAGAGAATTGCAGATGTTTTTCCTGGAGGCAGTGTCCTTTTGAGAATTTATATATGTTTTATAAATCGTAGTTTATTGCAGCAATCGCCTGCAAATCCTCATCGGACGCAAACGATAAGTACACTTGCGTATCGTCTATATAATTGTGGAATTTGCAGGATAATAGACATTACATGCATAAAAGAGGTCCAAATATGGACCTCTGAGGGACATCAAAGTTCAATTCTCTAAACTAGCACACTCTGTCCATGTAGTTGACCGCCTGCATTCGATTTGAAAGATAATTATGGAAGAGGTCTACAGCTCGTTGTGACAATCCTATAAAATGCAACATCTCAATTTTTAGAAAGCCTTACTAAAACCAAGTAAGATCAAAAATGTCATAGGCCTTCAAGACCTCATCTGTGACATTCAGTAAGCTGTTTGGATTGCTCATGGGGAAGTATATTAAACTTGTTTAAATGCGAACGAAGTTGCTCATCCATAATCCTCTCCAGTACCTTTGAAAATGTGGGCATTCATTTCCACAGGGTTTATCACTTTGGGAATAGGGGTGATAAACGGCACAATTCCGAACACAAATCTCGTAATGCAGAAGTTGTAATGAGTGATTTTATTTTGGGCAGAATTTTGTTTTGAGAAGTTTGTGTTTTTGTCATCAGCGTAAAGTAGCATGTATGTACATTTAGGTGGTTGTCCTATTTGGATGATTTGAACTCATTTAAATTAGGGCGGCGTATTTTTTCCACAAAACTGTTTTCCTTTGTGAAACGTGACCTCAAGTTTTCAGTGCGTCAGTGCATTAATAGTGTTTTCTCTGTTCTTTAATGGGCAGAGTCGCCCCATTGTCAGGAAGGTATCTCTGATAACACTCATTTTAACGACTGGTTTATCTTACAAATCTGATTTCCCTGTGAGATCGTTTTGTGAACCCCTATCATCTGGCTTCATTATGACGGTGCAGTTTTAATATACCAATCAGTCAATTAATGTCCAGAGCCATCTTTAATCGTTCCCATTCGCGGGCGTGTCTTCTTAGGAATCCAGAGAGGTGGAAGATTTTGAAAAAAGAGGATTCGCGGTTTGTACGTGGAGCTGATAGCACGTACATCGAGAGATTCGCGGTTTGTACGTCGTGTAGTTCGCACGCTTTAGAAAAATAGATTCGCGGGTCGTATGCGGTACTGTTAAAGGGGTAGTATACCCAAAATCAAAAAAATTGTAGAAGAAAATCTAAGAACAAAATTTCAAACCGGAGTTTTCTACGATGAGTAGTTTTCAAATTATTAACGATGAAAGTTTGAAAGACAGAACATGTGACGTCATCCCGACGTCGTGGGTGCGGCGGCACGGATCCAAGCAGTCCAAACGCGTCAGTTCTTTCATATTCTAGTTCGCTTTCCTTTGAAAAAAACAAGAAAACCTTACTGAAGTATCATCCGAACATATATCCTCATATAAATTTGAATATTTGTAATAAATTTCTGTACCCAGCTCAGATTGGATACCTATGCTTTCAGTAAGCGGTTTGGTTCGATTTGATTCAGTTCTTCTGTTTGATTGTGGCATATGTTTGATGTTGAACTGGTTTCTCCACTACGAAATTGATCGTTTACACACAATAAGCAATCAGACACAATCTTACTTTCTTAGATAAGTTGACTGGCGTTTTGTAGCTTTATTAGGGCCTTTGTTTCCTGTGAGATGTAAAGAAGGGATTGCAGTATGTTAGCCTTCTCTAAACTTTATGCTGAGGTACAGGGTCCTTTCCTTCTTGTATCTTCCAAAAAAAATTATCATCTTTAAAGTGGACACTGCAAACGACGTGACTATACCTACTATGATTCAGCGGTTTTTTCTAATTTTCCAGACTTTATTTCGACACGGCTCCTTCTTTTCTAGGGGAAAATGCAATGGAACATTGGCATTTTTCAAATTATTATTGCAGGGGAAAACACAAAGTTAGGCATACTGGTGATCTAAACATAAACCAATTTAGTAACGACATAAATACTATGAAACTCTTTGACTTAATTCATTCATTCAAAATGGTATCATTAATAACTACGCCAACTAGAATTTTCACCAACATTAATTACACCAGCAGTTCTTCAATAGATTATGTTATCAGCAACGTACCTCATATTTTAAAAACAAAAAATTTTGATCCCGGAATATCTGACCATCATTGTCAAACTCTTGAATTAGTCGTTGCTTCTTGCGATATTAAAGAACACACCAACGACTATTACCTTCACACGTATAGAATAATCAAGGAACGGTCTCTTCTAGATTTCAAGGAACGCTTCGCAGAATTCCAATTTAAGGAATTCAATAATTCTAACGTCAATCGCCTATTTGACAAATTTCTAGGAACGTTGCTTTGGTGCTTCGATATTGCATGTCCAAAAAGAAAAAGGAATATTTCCAACTCTAATAAAGGTGATAGAATTCCTTTCTCTATAGATTTGTATCAAAAAAGGAAACTTTTGCAGAATTTAAATTGGTTGCGTAAAAGAATATACGACGAGAATCTTATTAAACGATACCAAACCTTAAAAAGAGAAATAAAACATCAGATAATATTGGAAAAGAAAAATTATTACAAAAATTTAATCAACAACTCATCTAATAAAAACAAAACTAGCTGGAACTTAGTTAACAAAGTCAAATGTAAACAAACGAATACTAAAATAAAAGAAATAAATTATAAGAATAAAACTTTAACATGTTCGAATGATATGGCTGCAGCTTTTGGCCAATATCTATCAACAGACATTGTCAATAAAATTAGTGATCATTTTGGTAGTAATTTAAGTAAGGAATGTACGATAAGTGAATCTGCAACTCAATCAATGTTTTTTACATCAGTCTCAAGTGACGAAGTTATCGAGATAATAAGTAGTCTGCCAAATAAAAACTCAACTGGGTTAGACGAGGTACCTGTAAGCGCAATCAAGTATTGTAAAGAATTGATTGCTCCTCATATTACGAACATCATTAATGTTTCAATTAAGGAGGGCCAATTTCCATCAGCCTTAAAATTGGCCTCCGTAACTTTACTACATAAAAAAGGTGACCCTAGCGATGTCGCAAATTATCGTCCGATTGCTGTTTTAAGTACGTTCTCAAAAATAATAGAAAAGGTCGTGGCAAAACGAGTTTACTCGTACTTAAACAAATTTCAACTAATAACCAATTGTCAGCACGGTTTAGAAATGGCTTTTCAACAGAATCAAGTATTGCTGAATACATACAGTTCGTGAACAGTAAATTAGATGTCGGTGAATACGTTGTGTCTATCTTTTTCGATCTAACTCAAGCTTTTGACACTGTAGATAAAGCATTTGTATCCGACAAATTATACAACCTTGGAATCCGAGGATCCATTAACAACTGGTTCGTGTCATTTTTAGAAGAACGAAGAATTATGGTACGCGTCAACAACGTTCTTTCGGATGAATTTAAGTTAGATTTAGGAACTCCACAAGGTAGCGTTTTGGGACCACTTTATCTTTCTCTTATACATCAATGATCTTCCTAATTTTATTACACATGGTAAATTGCTCATATATGCTGACGATACGTGTATGATCATATCTGACCCTACAACGGCTAATCTAATAAAGAAAATTAACGCATGTTGGAGTGCATTTTCAAATTGGTGCTTTAGGAATCATCTAATAATTAATTCTGCAAAAACATCAATTATCGAACATCACAACATACGAAAACAATCATTTTTTAACCAGTTTTCTTTAGGCAAGAGTATAGTCTATACGTCTACATCAGTAGAGTTTCTGGGAATTACATGCGATAGTGGGCTCTCCTGGGACACCCATATCAACAACGTCTGCAATAAATTAAACAAGTGCTATTACTTATTAACCACGTTAAAATCAATGCTGGATACTGAAACACTTTTAAATGTTTACTATGCATATGGATATTCAGCTATAGCGTATGGAATTATAGTATGGGGGCAGGGTCGAGATGTTCAAAGGGTTTTTGTATTACAAAAAAGGATAGTAAGATTGATCTTTGGTCTTAGTGGGAGAACTTCGTGCCGTGAATTCTTCAAAAGCAAAAAAATATTGACCGTGGCATCTATATACCTCCTCAAACTCTATGTCACATTCACTTAAAGAAGCACAACCTTCTGAGGAATTGTGACATTCATAGTTATAACACCAGACACAAAACCGATTTTGTAAATTTTAAAGTGAAGAATAGTTATTGTACTAAATCACCAAATCACGCCGGTGTAAATTTCTTTAATAAGCTTTCAAGTGATCTGAAAACTATTCAAAATAAATTTATATTTAAGCGGAAGTTAAAAACGTTGCTATTCAATCATTGCTTCTACACTGTGAACGAATTCCTCACTCTTACTGCACAGTCTTAGTGTTCTTGTGTTTTATATTGTTCCATAGTGATCATTAATGGCTTTAATTTTTATGTATATTTTAATAGTTGTTTGTTTGTTTCATGTTATGTTTATATATACACATACACACACATTGTAAGTACCAAAGTAATTGTAAGACGAGTGCAAAAATTACTACCTATGTAATTACTTAGCACAATAAATAAAATGAAATGACAAGGTTTAAATTAAAAAGTAAATAAATTTATTTGCAGATGTTTACGAATTCGTCGATTTTATAGATTGCATTTTGAACTAATAACTTTTTAACCTGAATTCCCTGAAAGTCTTTATATTTTGATATTTAACACTTTGAGGTATGCCTGGCGTCGTGTCTCCCAGGATTTAGTTAACTGTTTATTAGTGCACAGCAGTTTTGAGCTGTTCGCAGTTGTGCATTATTAAGCTTTATAGGGGAGTCGATGGTGTCCGTCTGTCCGTGAAAACGATAACTGTCAAACGCTTTCTACAGAAAATCGCGGATGTTCCACACACAACCGTGAGAACGCTATATCGCGTTCAAATCTCCTACTACCCGGTTGAATTACCATAAAACTACTATTATAGCGTAATATTTTTCCGTTGCTAAGTTTCCCATATTGACAAAACATCGCTATTGTCATGGCAGTTTGATATATAAAACTGTCATCTCCACGTGAATTGTTTTCATGTAGGCACGTTTTCCATTTAACGATTTGAATTCGAATGGATTTAGACGAATTTGACGATTTTGGGGATGAAGAGGAACAAGAAGAAGAGCAACTTGATCCGAATAATCCAGATCATGCATTTATTTTATTGGAACGAGAGTTTACAAAGGTAAGTGTTAGTAATAGTGATACTAATTCAATATGAAATTGCCAGACAATCGCAGACATCGAACAAAACGCACAGGCCGCTCAATACGCCGAAGAATTTAACAAGTTATTCGAAGCGCTCTACACGCATAACGAAACGAGAAAACAGTTGACACAGAGATGTGCGGAATTGGAAGAGCAGCTCGCGGGAGGCACAGAAAAACTGATAATAGCAACAAAAATTGCCGAAGGCGATGCCGAGGTCATTGCGAGTTTAAAGGGGAAAATTGAGTACTCTTGGCGGATGACTGATGCAGCACATGAGCGCGAACAGCAAGCGCAAGAAATTATCGATAACCTGAGGAGCCAAATTAGTGCTTTGGTCGCCGAGCTGGATTTCAAAAATAAGATGAGCTCGGAAGATGAGTGGGTGTTACCTAAATTGCTTTGACTTTGCATTTCAGCGTTGTTAAATTGCAGCGGAGGCGGCCAGCAAAGCAAAAACCAAGAAAGTCTAGAGAGGGAGAAAGAGAAACTAATGGGTGAAATTGGTCAACTGCAAGTGAAATTGGCAAATGCAATCGGGTACCAGGAAGAATTGGAGAGAAAAAACTCTCACGCTGATTTGAAAATAATTGACCTCTCTAGTCAATTGCAGGTTGGGAGCCTTCATTGCTTTCAGCAACTTGACTGATCATATTTTCAGGATTTGGCGAATGATTTTGACAAAACCAAGAAACAGCGTGATAAGTTAGAAGGAGAAGCCGTCGAGTTAAACAACGAACTTTCAAGATGCAACGGAGAAGTGCGTTCATTACAATCCACCGTCCAAAAAGGAGAGACCTTTATAAACCGACTAGAAAGACAAATAGATGATTTGAAGAACCTAAAGGAGAAGCTTTCGAGCGATCTTGAAAATTTAACCGATAAATACGAAAATCTACAAGACGTCCATAAGCAGCTTAAAAATACACAAGACGATACAAAGAAACAGCTCGGAAAGGCGATGATGGAAAATAAAGTAAGTTTTGACTGAAATATGCTATATCACAATTATCGCTTTGCAGCTGAAAGACGACCAAGCTGTTAAAATGAGGTCAGAAATAAATAAATTTGTGACGATTCGTGAGCAGTACGATAAGAAAATTGTCAAGTTAGAATGTGACAAACGAGCCGCTTGGGACGAGCGCGATGCACTACGCCAGATCCAAATTAGCACCCAGAAAGAGATCCAGCAGTACAAAAGGCAGTCCGACGTAGATAAGCGCACGATGGATTCAATGGTTAAGGAAAAAGACTTGCTAAATAAAAATATCTTAAAACATCAAGGTAAACTGACGAAATCTTCCATGGGTTAACGCCAAATTTTAGACCTCATCAAGGAGCACATCAAATTGTTCAAAATTCAAGAGCAAACCAAGAAAAAGTTGGAACTAGAAATTGGCGAACAAGTTCAGGAGATTGGTAAACAAAGAAAGCAGGTCTCCTACCTAGAAAAGGAGCGAGACCGACTCGTCGATGAGGGTTTGGAGTTAACGCAGAAAATAGAAGATACAATGGAGGAAATTAAGCTTAAGAAGGTAAATAATTTTTTATTACCTTTGCCATTCAACTTAAAAATTGTAGACGCAAATATACGATTTGAAGAAAAGTCTGGCGGAGAACGACAATAAATTGCGTATACAACAAAATCTGTTCGAAGGAGTGCGAGCTGAGAGGAATAACTTACAAAAAGCTCTCCAAGAGTCGGCCGCTGAATGCGGGGAGCTCAAAAATAAGCTGAAGGTGAGCAGCCACCAATCAGAGCAACTTAAAGAGGACATCGCCATGAAAGAACAAGAACTGATTCGAGAAGAGAACATTCTACGGAAGATTACGAAGGACAAAGAAAACTTAAGGTAGGTAGTTAATACGTTATAGAAGTGTAGTACCTATAAATCAATTGTAGAATTGAGCTTGATAACGCACTAGAAGCTGTCAAACAACTCAAAGAGGAAATCGTAGAAATGAAAACTGAAGAGAAACGCCTACACAAAGTCATATTCGTATGAGAGCCTCGACATTTTGTAATAAATGTACACGTAACTGTTTTAAGGAAAGCGATAAAAGAATCAAAGAGCTCACAAAAGACTTGGATACTCTTATGAATGAGCGTGACATTTTGGGATCACAGCTAGTGCGCCGCAATGACGAATTAGCACTTTTATACGAGAAAATCCGCATATTACAGTCTACACTTCAAAGAGGTAAAATCTCTCGAAGCATGTTCGGTTGAAGTTCACTCAAACTGTCTTAGGGGAAGCCCACTACGAACGTCGACTGGAAGATATTCGACTTTTAAAAATCGAAGTAAAACGTCTGCGTCAAGAAAAACTGCTTCTAACAAAATCCATTACCAACATGACGGACCTACGGCAAGAAATTTTCCATATGGAACGTGATTTAACAAGGGAACGTTTGAAGTGCCGAGCTTTGGAAGAAGAATTGCAAAATCCGCTAAACATACATCGATGGCGCAAGCTGGAGGGATCTGATCCAGATGTTTTAGACTTACTTAAAAAAATTCAATTGCTCCAAAAGTGCGAATGACACGTCGCCCTTAACTAGGCAAGCTTACTTTCTTTTTGCAGAAGACTGCTGAATCAGACTTCGGAAGCCGTCGAACGGGAAAGGCAGCTCAAGGAGGCAGAGAAGCTTTATACCAATCTCAAGCAAATTATGGCCAAGCAGCCGAGCCCCACGATTCAGGAAGATTTAAATAAAACGCGCAAAGCGCTTACATTACGTGGCAACAAGCTAAAGGTTTGAATGTTTAATCAATTCGAGAAAAGTAAAAAAGTCATTGCAGTGCTTGGTTTCTGAATTGAACATGACGGAATTGCAATCTATAGAGTACAAAGAAGATTTAGACAAGGTTCGTGAGGAACTGAAGGAGGTGAAGAAAAAGTACTTGATTGAAAAGAAAGCACATCAAAAAGATTTGGACGCCTTAAAAACCCTGGAAAGTAAACACAATCAGATGCCAAACATAGTGCCAATTAAATTTACAGGTGGAGGTTTTAAAATGTCTGTAACCACCAATGAACAATTTTAATATTAAATGATTTTTTAACAAAAATGCGCTTTATCCTCCTGACCGTTCTTCTGTTTGCCTGTCCGCTCGTTTGCGGTAAGGTATGACTACGAAAGACATCACCTAACAATGTTTATCAGTATTACCATCAATGTCATAGGCGACACATTGACTTTGTAATTTTGCACACCTCCTAATATTCGTCCCCGGAAGATTGACTTCTGAAAACTTCGCTCTCAGAAGATCCAATCTAAAAATTCGCCCCCGGAAGGTTCATTCCCGAAAGATTTGCCAGTGGAGCTCTCGCAAAATTCGCACCCGCAAGATTTATGCGCGGAAGATTTGGTACCAAGAAAACTCGCCTTTGAATTTTCGTTATTATACCGAAGCATTGTGAGCTATCGTAAGAACTGTACTGCAAAATTATTACACTAACCCATATATCTCGTATGCTGATAATTTCAGAAGTTGTAACGCCACAGAGTACATACTACTTTTTACTCAGGCATTAATTATATTTGTATGTAGATTCGTTAGAACACCTTTGGTTTGCTGTTGACTATTCTATTTAGCATCCTGTACTTATAAGCATGAATTACTCTGTATATATAATTTGTGCAGTTGGCAGCCCCCGTTCCAATCTGGTTATTTGGTGTTGGCAGCACTGAATAGTATGACGCTTAATACTAACCTCACTTTTTCATAATACCGATTACCGGTTGTCGGTATATCTAGGTACTAGGTTTAAATCTTATATAATTTTAGTAGAAGAGGACTACATGGTACCATGCCAAAATTACTTGAAGTCTGTGTTGACAACTTCGAATCTGCTTTAGCGGCTATAACTGGTGGAGCTGATCGAATCGAACTGTGCTCGTCACTAGTGGAAGGCGGTTTAACACCGACACCAGGACTTCTCCTACAAATTCAACAAGCCAACAACACAAAAGTTCCGATTTTCTGCATGATACGATGCCGTCCTTCAAACTTCGTGTACTCTCGCGAAGAAATCGACATTATGCTTGAAGATGTTAAAATACTTAAACAGAAAGGCGCGGACGGTTTCGTATTCGGAGCGCTCTTGGAGAACGGCGACGTAGACATGAAGAAATGTCGCGAGATTCTTAAAGCGTGCTTTCCTCTTCCAGTCACGTTTCACAGGGCGTTTGATTTTTGCAGGCGGCCTACTATCGAGGTGGAAGTCATCATTGATTTGGGATTTACGAGGTTGTTAACTAGTGGGAAACAAAAAAATGCACAGCTGGGTGTTAAACTAATTGAGAAACTTTGCGACCAGGTTGCGAATAGAATTATAATTGTTCCAGCAGGTGGTATCAATAAAGATAATTTAAAGTATATTATCGAACAGACAGATGCAAACGAGTATCATGGATCGTTTCGCAAATTGAAAGAGGAAAGTAAAGATGAAGAAAGCGAAGTGGTGTTAGGTGAAAAAGATGCACAATTACACATTGCAGATGAGCAATTGATTAGTGAAATTGTTCATATGCTAAAAACTGACTAATTTATGTTGTATCAGTATCTATTTTTTCATGTTGTATTTGAAAGACATAATGTGTGTACTTTCATGTTGGGAATGCTCTAAGTACAATGTACGTCTCTGTGCTCATTAAAGAAGTATTTTATTGATTTGGTGTAACTAGCAAATTTTCAAGCTTTCTGTTTCTTTTAATGTGTTTATCCTTTTTGTTGTGCCCTGTCACAGAATGGCCACAGTGGCATTGAAAGAGGTAGTTCAGACTGTCCACCCTAGGTGTGAGTGGATTTTCCTGAACCCCAATTTGTAATAATATTGTAGCAATGAAGAGGAAAGCATATGGAGTGGAAGAGTACTACAAACAGTCCTTGTGGCTGTGAGCAAAGTTTGTCCGCACGGGCACCCCTCATGTTCCTCTTGCTAGACATGGACGGACTTGTAAACCTCCTATGTCTAGGCTTTGACCACTGTCCTCCGATATCCCTCGGGGTATCAAAGGAATGAAACACGTTGACCTTTTCCTTCCTTTACGACGTGAACAAGACTTATTAGTATTCAGAAGCTACAACTGGGCATGCATGGGCTGGACTCTGGAGTACACTCCAGAAAGCAAATACTGGACAAGAGGGTAACTTGGAAACCTGCTCACATCACCATGGTCTTAATGCGTTGTCGAAGCTTTATGGGGAGGAATCTGACTATACACCACTTATCACTGTAGATAATTAGGCCTATCTTGAACAACCTTGCGGTGGTATGGTGCTCCCAAGCGGAAGCAAAAGTAGCCCAGACTCAACTAAATAGGCTGCAACGAATGGCCTGAGCAATGAGTAGTATACCCAAAGCTGCCATGCTAGGCCTGCTCTTCATTTAGTATAAGTAGTGGTGAAGAAGGAAGCAGCGAGGTAGGAGGGAATACATTGAGGGCTATTTAAAAACTGCCGTTCATGCTTGTTTTTCAATAAAGCTCCTTCCCACCTACCACTGTAAAGTGGATTATTATACAGTGATATTCATGTAGAAGTTGACATAGGGATTTCCCATGGATGCATCCTTGGGTGGGCATTTCCTATGTCTACTTTTACATTATAAAGTCCTGGAAGACGCCTAATTTTATGCAACCAAAATACCTTCTTGGAACAAATAAAGATCTGGCCTTCGTATTAATTATTAATTTGAATACTGTTGCTGCTTCACAGAAAATAAATCTCTTAAGCTCCTTTAACTGTTATCGGCACTATACCAATTCGAAATATCAACTTTTTCTTTACTTGAATAAATCGCACACGAACCGATAATGCAATATGACATGCAGATCCTCATTTGTTGTAGGCAGTTACTTTGGTTGCATAAAATTAGGAGTCTTTCAGGAGACTTTTTATCATGTAAAAGTAGACAGGAAATTCTTATAAGAAATCCTTGGGGGATTTATCGCTATGCTAACAAATTTCCTTTTCTTATACCTAGGAGGCGTATGCTCATGAATCTCATATAGCAATGGTATCTCTAGGGTGGCTAAACCAGGTTCCAAGTATGGATTACTATTCATCAGGTATGAATTTATTGTTATGTGTGCACGGTTGAATTTACCTCTTGCTTAGCTAGTACAGCTCCAGCTGCGTAGAGTGGTCATGAAATAGCATAATCCGAGAGTTCATTGTATCATTTGATCTTCTAAGTAGACCCTCCATCTTTTCTGCTACGAACATGCCTATAACGCCCACATATGGCTTAACTTCTTTGTAGTCAGAATGACATAGTGAAACCTCTTGATATGAAGTATTATGTATGTAATGTAGATGATCATTTATACAATTTGTCATTGATATTAATTTGCTAATCATGGGTTTTCTTCATAGTTCATTTCCATGTAAAATATGCACGCGCGATTTTATTACGGTAATTTTCACGGTTGTTGCTTTCCAACTTTTGAGTTATTCAATCGATCTGGAGAATTTACTAAAACAAAAGATATGGCACAAATGAGATAACTTAACAAACAAATTGAGAACAATTTAATATGTATTTCATATCTCCCAAACCCTTAGCAATATAATTACAATTTATCACAACATGTCTCAGTACATCATAAAAATAAAATATCTATAGTGGTAATGTCTTCGGGAATAGTTATTTGTACTCACAGAAACAAATATATTTCCGTATAAAATAAAAATACGTCGAGTGATCCATAAGATGAAGAATATGCAAATTCTGTGTCAAAGAAACATGGCAAAAGTGAAGTACGTATTTAGTATTAGCTGAGATTTCTTCGCGTTAAGCTCGGAACAAAAATATTCTCAGCTTTATGCACATACTCTTACAGTTTAAAATTAATCGAAACATGTACTTAAAATGATAAGGATTTAAAAACACTATTTGAATATTAAGTACAAAATTCAGAGATAAGCCAAGTCACATAGTAAAAGGCATTAATTGATACATAAAGCATTTGTTACAAACTCGAACTGGTTTAACGTGGCCAAATTTTGGCAAAGGAACACTGTTTGACGAACATCGAGAGCAAAATATTTTTCCACAGTTTCTACAATGATGTCTTCGTTTGACGACCGTGAATGTAGCGGTACAACTCATACATTTAGGCGCTTCTATATCCGGTATCCACACAGGTGGACGTTCATATTCTACCTGGCAAGTTATGTGAGACACTGATCCATTAGCAACAGCAGTCCCTAAATTTTCAGTGACGCTAACGCAACGTTCAAAATCTTCAGTCATGCCCGCTATATCTTCGTCATCACTAGATCGGGGTCGATTTGAATACTGGGATTCGGTATCCTCATTATCCATATGAAAATATACGTTGTTATCGAACAAAGCTTCCTGAGCTAGAATATTGGGGTCAACTGTAAACTCGTCGTTTTCAATTACTTCACTGGAGGATGGATGATATTCAATTGAATTGTCTAAAATTTGCTCAGAAAGCGAAGCAGTTTCAAGCGAATCGCAAGTGTTCATTAGAAAAACGGCTTTGAGAATATTCCGTAAGTCGCTCGCAAAGTTGGTTTGCAACTGATCAGCTACGCCGGCGATACAGACGAATAATCTATGTAACAAATCCTCGCTTGATCTAAATTTTGCTCTAATTTCGTTCCTACTGGCAATTTCGGCAGCTTGTAGCGCTAAGGCGATTTCTTCATCATCCGCGCAGTTGCTATTGAATGACGAGGTATCCGAACTTCCTTCGCTCACTTCCGCGTCGGTAGCGCGTTTGGGAATGGATACCAATTTTGAAGATTTTCGTGTTATCTTTGGCACGCTTCCACTTGTTCCAGGGGAGAAGTCGACCTGTCCTTGGTGGGCCATTTTTTTCTTGCTCGATTGCAGCTGCGCCGGCTCTGATTTGCAGTGACATGAAACTTGGGGCATTGCAGACTTCTTAACACAACCACATGATTTTTCTTCAAATACATCCAAACTGGGCGATCTATCTAAGCTAGTAGTTTCAGTACATATCCCCGAATCACTTGGAGATTCTACCCCTGGTTTTTTCTCTTCGGAATCGGTAGGAGCTTCAGTGGCAAGAATAGATGATAATGTGGCAGCAGCTACAGATATTACTTCCAAAGAATCATGTTCAGGTTGCGAATCGATTGATGAACTTTCTTCTAGAACTTCTATGGCTGTAGAGGTGGAGGGAGTTTCATTACTATCTACTGTGTTTTCTCTACTGTTTGCGTCCGTAGATTGAACAGGTTTGCTTTTTTCCTTAGCACTTTCATGATTGTTTAAGGTAACGGTAAAAAAAGTACACATGAAATCTTTACACGAAGGGTAGTCACTATAGAATTGATTAATAAAGTCATCTAAATCACTATGCATATCAAGATCGCTAACTGATTTTAAGTCACTAATTTGTTCGTTATCACATAATAATTTTTCAAGCATGTACAACTCTTTCTTGTTTAACGTCCATAACAGTTCGCGAATTTTGAGCAATAAAGTTCTAAACGGTCTAAACATTTCACTTATTTCCTCCATCGGTTTATCGATGCATAGCGGACCGTTAGGAAAAATTAACAACCCACTAACTATAGCTAAACGAGGTATCGTAAACATAAGCGCCGGATCACAGTCGTCGATCATATCTTGGGATATTAATCTCATTCGCAACGCTCGCTGAAGGGTTTCAGAGAAAAGAACGCCGATTAGTTGCTGCAATTCGTATTCTCTCGTTGTCTTCACAGGTACCATAGCGCTAACGTAACAAAGTTCGAATTCCGCGAAGAGTTTATCAAATATTTTTAGGCTTTCGATTAAAACTTCGTTAATAAGATCGTTACCGTTCAACTGTAAAGGGCCGTTCGGTGTATTGCTACGAAGACATGTTTCGCGTAGTAAATTCCGGACGTTTTCTAAACTTTTCGTTAATGCTCTTGCAAGTGGTCGCATTACTGTGCTTTCAGCCTCGCGATTCATGATAGAAGAACCGGCAGCCAAGCACTGTGAACAAAAACAAGATATGGTTACAAACTCCCAAATAAATAGGAGCTGGCGGCTGCATAAATATTTAGTCCCTTAGGAAAATGCGTTAAGAACAATCAAAGAATTGAATTTTTACCTCCGCTCCAAACCACAGTTGTCCTGCTAAGTTTTCCTGCAGAACGTCCTCCGGAAATTTCACTCTGAAATCACGATTAGCTCTATGTTCCCCGATAAGTACGTCCATTATGGCATTCGTTATTGTTAAAACCTTATCTTGCGATTGTCTCAACTGATTGACCAAAGATGTGCATCGCTCGGGATCTTTGCGACCGTCAAAACTATCCAGCTCGCTTGCTATCATATTTAATGCTTCGTCGGCGAAAAAAAATTGAGCTAGCAGTGAAGTATCGTCTTTCTAAAATGGAAAAACTGAGTTAATATGGGTACAATAAAAACCGAGATAAAAACAAAAACTAATAGAGGTATATAGAAGTAACGTATTCTCTTTATCTTTGATACGAAGCATTGGTTTGATTTTTGAATTCATAGTAAGCAATTTGACAAATATCTTGACATTCTTGGATTATAAACCACGTGTTTTGTTTATTGGTGAATTTGTTAAATTCTGATCGCTCGAAATTTCGTTTGTTTACAAAACGAACATACGAAAGGCCTTTATTATAGAACATCCAAATATAGGTACGTGTTTGTAATCAGAAACGAGAAATAGTAGTGCAATCTATAAATTGTACTTGATCATCATAAAGTGCACCAATTAGACAACGAGCGACAAAGTCACTTCAAACAGAATATTACGACCTAAAGCTCGGCCAGAAATAGCCATTAAGGCGGTGACATGCGCCCAAAATGAAAATGTTTTGTATGTATTGTATAAACAAAAGATTATTGAAACAAATTGAGATTATGATAAGACGAGGCCAAATATTTTTCGTTTGATATTTCTGAGGGTAGGTATTCCCAGTCAGTATGTAATGGGAAATGCCGCTTGATATCTTACTTATTTATCTCGCTCTTTTTTAAGGGAATTTGGTATATTGTCGAACTAATAAAAAAGCAACTAAAAAGATGTCGTTGATGGCGCGCGTGCAAATCTGTCCGATATGCAAGATTGATTTGGATTTTACACCTACCACCGTTTGTTTAGATTTTACAACAAGCGATTTAATGGACGGTGTATTATCTTTTTCAACGGAAATCGTTTTATTCACAAAGACGTGAAATTACGAACACCCAGTCCACTTAATTAGACATGTATTCGAGTCAATATGATTTCATTGTATTTCCTATTTTTTAATTATACTGCAGGTATAATAAACTAGAAAAAAAACACTATAAGATACACGTGTATAATTGGCCTTTAAAGCACTTGCAACGTTAAAGGCACTCCGCTTCGCGTCGTGCCATTAAACTCGTCGTCATTTTTTGACGTTAATACTCTAGCAAGGTTTCACGCGCGAGTTGCTGCCTGATAACACTGTCGAGGTGTAAACACCAACGTACGTCTGACTTACTGTGGTGCGTGAAACCTTGCTAGAGTTTTCCCGCCTTTAGGTAGTTGAATTTAAAAGCAAATTTAATTAGCAATCGGTACAGTTGTAGAAAAAATATTGTATATAACGGCGGTTGACGGATATGTTGATTCGGTTTCGCCTCGTCAAAATACCTTCATTCTCAATGCGCGAAATTGAACTTCGCGCTCTTGTTATATAAATAACTATTCATTACAACTTTTTAATCCACTTTTTAAATCAAATTTCGCATTAGTAGCCTTCATCAATGCTATATTTGTGATAACAATTCTTTATTGTTTACTTTTCCTACCGTTCTTCCGATTTCAAATTCATTTTTTTACTTTATTTATTTGTTACTCGTACTTATCGACCCTTTCCCAGTCCGTGGAGGTCTATTCGCGAGTATTGTACGTACCTACCCGCAAATAAGGGTAAGTAACCTGGGTATAGCTATAGCATGTGCAAAACCAAATTTTGAACCTGGTGGTAGTTTTGCTTTTATTCCAAGTGACTATGTATCAAATTCATTTAAATCCCTCCATAAATAAGAAAGTTGGCACTGCGCATGCGCAAAACCAAATTTTGAAAATTGCGATAAATTTGCTTTTATTGCAAGTGTCTATGTATCAAATTTCATTTGAATACCTTCATAAATAGAAAGTTTGCAATTCGGTTTGTGGTGTAGAATGACTCAATTTCTGTAACAAAAAAATGATACGAAGCGCCCTTCTCCTATTCCTCCCCTATTGGAATTACTAAGTAATTACTAAGTAAGTAGTAGTAATCGTGTGAATCGGGCACATCGAAAAATTGGTAGTACTAAACAGATGATTATGCATTCGAATGACATCTGTCATTCGTATTTCAATGGGATGCAGAGTGGGATGCGGAGCACAATATAAAATGACGTTCAGATGATGTTTCTATGGAAACGACCGCGACGGCCGAATCTAAGCTTAGTAATTGTGACGTCTAAATTAAATTCAGAATTGTCAGAAGATATTTACATTGATTTATACTCGGATTTATATGATGCCCTTTATGATTGGGTAAAAAATTTAGCACACGATACTGCAGATTAGAGATATAAAAAGAAACAGTCTACGAGTAGAATTGTACAACATTCTTCCGGAATCTATAAGTGTATTTTAAAGAGTGTTGAAGCATCTACATCTTAAATATTGCTTCTACTCCGTGCGCGAATATTTAAATACTAAATGCCTGTTTCTAACGAATGAAATAAAAGAATCCCTTTCTCACCCCCAGTGTTGGTTTAAAGAAAATAAAGTGCGATATGAAAATAAGGTAGCAATTTACTCAAAAGCTAAGTTGTGAGGTTCAATAGGATTTATATTCATAGCTTTACATTTGCAAAAGTCAACATTAGATATCTAATGTAAGGGCCAATCTTCTGCTTCCCAAGGTTAGTAAATATTTGGGAATACTAATACATACTTAGACGATTTGGCTATTGACGATATTGGTTAAAAATAAAATTTATTAGCAACCTTCGTGCTCCGGATACGTTAACCTCACGATTAATACAATGAAATAGAGGTAGCAACACGTTTATCAAAATTTATACAATTTTATGTAATTGAAGCGATTATCCTGTCGTAAGTAATTCTGCACTGACGAGGTACTACCTGCGTAAAATGGCACGCTTCTTAACTTAGAAATCATAATTAATATGTGGAACATGGCTCAATTTTCTATTGTTTAAGGTTAAGCAAGTACCTAACGCACTCCATTGTTATACGTACCTTCTTATTACACTATCTTCGGGTTTAAATTAATTAACAATTAGCTGAATCAAATCGTACTCTTTAAAAAATTTAAGGCTAGTTTCCACCCAAAAGCGGCACCCACCGAATACAAAATATTCTCTTTGCGCTCGAAAACTATAAATAATAATTTCTCTCAGTTCACACCTTTCTGCAATAACCAAATGTAATAGAGGTTCGCCTAGTTACATCCCTCGAGTGTTTCCATGCGCTTTTAATTGAATTACTCGGAATTAGGTAAAGTACTTAATTAGGCAAATTGTGAAACTATTACGTTTTTTAAAAAAAACTAGAAAGCGACACAATTTTAGTGCCACTAATGATCAATCACGCAATTTAAAAAATAGTATCAAGGTCCTTCTTTGCAAATTACTCTGAAGAAACAGGTTGTACGAAATTAATTATATCGTTTCTTTTCTTAATCTTTAATACTCGAAGACCTTGATAATGGTATCAAAGATAAATAGAAAATTATAAGACAACAATTAATGTAGAATTGAAAATATTTAGTTACAGTTAGGAAAACTTATACTAACCTTAGGTCTATAAAACCACTTCCGTATAGACTCCATCATTTAATAAGTTTGCTTATATGTACCAGAAAATAAAATCAAAAATGTCACATGTTAAATAGGTTTAGAACACAAAACTGCACAGTAAAGTAACAGGATTTTCACTTCATCCATTTACACTTTTTCATCTACAACCCATTTATGATGTCACACCTTTACTACATTTTTAAGTCACTTTGTCTGCAATTTAATGGCGAAAAGATTGGATTTAAAAATGAGGAACACGGGTAATTCCAACCGTATGGAAATACATGAATCAGAATTATTTTTGACACCAGACAGTGCGTGTGTAACAAAATGTATAAACCGAGCGTGGCAAACAAAGCGAAATAAATAAATGGTTATAAAAACTTGGGTTTGAAGAAAACTGTAGCTTACAGCACCCTGTTTCTGCGAAACATTTCCGCTAGCCGTTTACAGACTTGTCCAAGCAGTTGTAAAAGTTGTCGACAGATGGTGGAACGTGTACAGTTACAATTGCATGACGGTCGATACTTGATTCCCGCCAAAAACAGACATTTGTTTGAGAAACGTACATTCTTTATTTACAATGCCGAATTACACAAAGAACTTGATTTGTTTTGGTCCTTCGACACCGGACAATTACTAAGTTATTGATGTAATTATTGAATTGACCCGATTCGCATTATTTTTTTGTGCCTTGTAGAGATAAGAAAAGAATTGTGTAGGTATAATGAACAAGCAAAATCCACAAAGAAAATAATATCAATAAAAAAATTGATTTTGCTCCGTTAGGCGGTTTTTAACAGGAACGAATCAAATTTGATACATGATACATTGATACACAATCCTAAAAATCGTTATTTGGCGGAAACTACTATGAAATTCAAATACTAGCACATTTTTTACAATACAGGCTGTTCTAATACCCTGTAATTTTAATCGGTTGCCTAATTATATAATAGTTGAGGTTATTTGTTCGCATTTGTGTTTTGCAAAAGTTCGATTTGGTCTAGTTTTGACAAAGTAGCCTACATTGTTGGACAATTCGCGTCGAGACAATTTGCACCGATTATGACATTTTGATTCAAACACAATTTCACACTCGCAGAATTAGTATATGCTGCGTATGGTATGTGTATAGGAAAAGTAAAGGAAGCCCTCAGTTACTCAAACTCGTTCAATTTGGGAGTTTCAATATTGTCGCGAATAAATTGGACCCTTTTCAACGCACAAAGAAATAGAAATTAAACTCTATAAAAGGAAAATTCCCCATTTTCTGATATCGAAAATTACTTATCGTTGAAAACATTGGTTACTATTGTACATCGTAGCATTCTCGCCCGGATCATATTCACAAGTGCATTTTATGCAATTCGCATTCGTTATTCGCTTGCATAGTGTCTTAAATTCAGTAGGATAACATGGCTATCTTTGTTATTATTATTATACTTACAGATTCCGTTAAAGTTGTGCAGTTTTTGATGCTGATGGATAATCCCATGATGCGATACTTTCAAAAATAATTTGCTTCGTAGATAATTGGAAAAAGTAAAAATAACAATTTTTAAAAAGTTCAATTATTAAGAGAGCTATCAAAAAAAGTTTCAAATAAAAGTTGCAAAATTCGATGGGATAAATTCAGTGGATGTAAACTTTTTTTTTTCAAAATGGCGGTTTTCAAAATATTGACATCAACTTCCTTATTTTAAATGGACGCCATATTGGAATTTGACGTAACTCAATAGAGAAAAAAATAACAAAACCGGTGATAGGTACTAAACATTTAGTCGTCTACATAACAGCTCTTTTAGAGGAGGGTTTTTCTATAATGTTGATCCTGTGGGGGTCTAGCTTTTTTCAGTGTGAATTTTCTTTGCAGAAAAATGTGCAAAGGCCAATATTATGGGAATTAATCTTCCGGGACAGAATGCTCCGACGGCGAATCTTTCAGTGGCAAATTTTCCGTGGTGGTGAATATTTTGAAGGTGAATCTTCCAGGAGCTAGCACTTTGTTACATTTTTCGCCCCGGCCTTCTAATGACAAACTCAAATTGCCAAGGTAAACCATGCCACTCCAAATTGTCGTTTGGGACATATCGTCAACGCTTTCTTCGGAAATTCCCAATATTTGACTTCTACGTGGGGTTAGATTAGTTGACTTGCTTGGGTATAAATCGTGCCAAGTTCAACTGTTGCGTAGAGCTGATATAGATCCTCTTATCGCTCGTACTAGTCGTGATAGCGGTGCTCCAATTAAAGATCACCACTTTCCGTTGGGCACAGTATTTGTCCAAGTCATTATGAGTCCTGTCAATGTTGCACACTCTCAAGTATGTGTATTTTAATAGTGGTTTTCATCGCTCTCTTCGTCTTGATCGTTATCAGAACACGTTGCAGAGCCTTCCTTTAAAGATTCGCTATTTCGTGAAACCTCAGGTCGTTTTGGTGTAGCGCTCCCATTCAAGGTTTCAGATCGTGATTTCCAGGGTTCCTTAGCTATCGCCGGTCGTCGTTTACGTTCATTAGAAATTGGCCTCGCCTCAAAACTAGTACCCAGGTCGCTGTATGTGGATTTCATGAGAGGCTATCTGCCTTCTGGTCACAACTCAATTGTCTTATTAACCTATTGGTAATGATTGCTATTATATATTCCTCATCATGGCGTCTTCAAGTAGGGGGAGGAAAATTCGAAAATTCGTCTATAGTGTTTGATGCCTCGGCCAAGGCGTCAAACGGGAAATCGCTTAATTATACCCTTCTCGTTGAGCCAAAACTCCAAAACAATATGGTGCAATTGCTACAGCAATTTAGATGGTTTCACCAGTGACGTTCGGCAAATGTATCGTCAAATTCGTGTTCGTCCTGAAGATCTTAAATATCAGTTGAACGTCGTCACGTATGGTGTTTCTTTTGGCCATTAAAACTTTGTTAGAATTCGCAGACCTTCGTCAGCGTTTGACCGCAGCACTTTTGTCGCAGGTAGCTCGAATTCACGATCCTCTCACCTACTAGTTTTTTCGCTAAATGTCAGATATGATTGTTAGGTCTTCGGTGGGATGAAACCCTTTGTCTATAGATTACCCCGCACTGGAATCAGTTGAAGTGTAAATTCATAGGCATTTGATAATTCATAATAATAATAATAATAATATTTATTCGTCGGATTTCACAAGAGTGTTTCGACACGTCGAAATATACACAATATATATAAATAATATAATAATAAATGCAGACACTAAAACATAAAAAATAAATTATGTAAAGAACAGCAAGCAAATTTTTAAAAACAAACAAATAGGTAAAAAAAAACGGAAGCTAAAACCAGAACACGTCCGCCCTGATGGTTGACAAGTACTCTTCGACGGAATAGAATGCTTTACTTAAGAAATATTTCCTAAGTACGCTTTTAAATTCTTTTACACTATACCTTTTTATTTTGTCCGGCAAAGGATTATATAGTTTAACATTAAGAGAGTTTTTTATTGATTTGTTTAGCCTGAACCTTGTGGTACGGAGTTGATTTTTAGATCTGGTATTCGTCTCGTTTAAAATAATTGGAACAAAAGCACTCGACTATCCTGTGGGAAAGTGGAGTTAAGTCGGTTCAGAAACACCCCTTGGTGATAAAATTCTGAGCCTAGAAGAATTTACCACAGTTATTAGTGGAATAAAAGAGGTATTTCAATTTTTCTATGAATTGTTTATTTTGAGTACCGGATTGTTAGTGGTAAGAAAAGAAAAAAAAAAATTTTACTTGATCTTTTCTTACCACTGAGGTATTTCAAATTCAAGACCTCTTTATCCTTTAAGGACTGACCACCCCCGGTCCTTTTTGACACTGGAACTACTTTTGTCGCCCCCCCCCCTCCCGCACTTGCCGCTACTACGTGCACTGTGAATTCGAGTCTAAATTGCCACAGATAAAGGGGTTGTGTTAAAACACAAGTAGTATGGGATACGCCAAATAAATTATGCTCTATTTTAAAGTTACAAAAAAAGGGTCTTGTGGGATTCTTGTCGACCAGTTTTTAAATCACAAAACAATGTGTGTGATACGCTATTTCTTTTAGAAACATGTTTTTGTATATAATAATAGACCATAGATCCACAACTCAGGGAACCTACTTATCAATCTTATCATAAAACGAATGCAAATCAGCTCCGTTAAACTCTTTTAAATACAATATTTATAGCTTTTATAGTCAAATCTTTGCAGTATTATCAAAATTAACATCTGGCATGAAAGATATCGACAATCTCACCGGTTTTCGAGCAAAACTTAAGAATTTTTTTTGTAGAAAACGTATTTTATGCAGTACCTACAGGAGTACCTACATCCACTTCTAATTGGTTCCTTCTGGAAAGAAAGCTCGTTGTTTTCTTTATGGAATGTGATTGATAGATTAAAATTACCACAATTTGAGATCAGACGGGCTCAGTATACCTTTTGAACAGGATGGAGGGAGAGGTTTGGCGGTATGAGGAAGGTCAATGTATTATTTGAGGCTATTCCCTAAAAAATGTTTTGATTTCTAATTTGCGGAAAGCTGCGTGCTGCGTGGTATGGTACATCAATACCTGCAGAAATGAACTAGTCACTAAAAATATTCGTTCAAAGACAACTCAAGCCGAATAGTTTCAAACATTTATTATTAAAAAGTAATCCTTGGTATTACTTTTTTGTAGCAAAGATCGCAATTCAGCACCGTGAAAGAAATTATCCTTAATTTTCAAAGACACCAAAAACGGCGGGGAATGCAAGTTGAGATCCGTTTAAAATGTAGTTTCCAACAGGGTCCAGTCCAGTTTGGAATTGGTCTTGTGCAATATTTTCGCTGGCTCACGATACCATTGGTGTATGAACAGCCTAACGATTTTAATTACGGCATGAGAATAATTTATGTAATAAACTGGGGATTTAGATAAAAGCTTCTTCCAAGCATAAGGCTAATAACATTTAATAGTCCTTTTAGGAGCGATGCTATTTGGTTGACAGATAAATATGCGACGCAAAAATATTTTAATTAAGTCTTCCTATAAATTGTTTTATCAAGTTTAAAACGCTATTAAATTTTGATGTCATTAAAATAATCATTAAACATGTTAAGCCTTATGAATTTAACCTTCATATACTTAGGTAGAAAATAGTTGACCAATAAATTAAATTTAATTTGTATAATTTGACAAATTCTCTGGTCCGCAACACGTTTAATGTAAAAGATTACCTTAAAATGTATATCTCGAGCCGGTATTAAAACCGAATGTTTATACTGAGAGCAACTAACTATAATTACTATTTATATATGGTGGCGAAGACATTAATTACAATGTTTAAACTATTTAAA